ATATTCTCAGCTATTAAAGAATTTTCCCTTTTTGAAATAAGATGCATATGCTGTTAAAGAGATTAACTTTTAACCTAGAATCAACAGGCTTGGGTATTGAGTATTCATTGCTGTGTCCACAGAAAGTCCTTTGGTTCATTTTCCAAGTTAGAAACCAATTATGATGACTGCATTTTCTGAAGGCATTCAGGACAATGATATGGTGAATTATTAAAATATCCAGGTACCTTGCAATTAAGGTGTCTCTTTTTTATCTCTTGAATTCTGGAGTAATTTATCATTCTTTCGTTTTCTTTCCTTCCTAAACAGTATTGTTAACATGTACTTTTGGTTCTTCCTTTGAAGTATCTCATGCCTCATTTCTTCCATTTCATTCCTATAGATACCATCCTAGTTTGAACTTTTTATTATTCACATTGGGACATTTGTGCTAACCCTTGAACTGACTTTTTTGTTCCTTATTTAGAATGTCTCCGGATTTTGTTTTTGGTTTTTCATCTACTTCTTGGGTCATAAACACTCTGATCAAAAGCCAAACCAAAAGCACACACATACCAGAAAATTTTCAGTTGTTGTGCACCTTGTTGTCAGACCAAACTCTCTAGCATGGAATTCCACAGTCTCCATTATCTTTCTCATCCTGTGTTTTCCTGGTCCCTTACAGAATAAATCTGCTTGCTCTCTACTTTTCTCAATGGCCTGATTTCTCTCTCTTGCCTTTCCATATGCTATTTCTTCTAATAGAAGAAAGGAATGAACTTTCTTCTTTATGCCTCATATTACTTTTTCTATTTTTGTCCTATTTAGGAAATCTTTTATATTCTTTAATAACTAGACTGGATTAGAAGTTTTGTATTATTATTATTATTATTACTGACAGAGTCTTACTTTGTAGCACATGCTGGAGTATAGTGGTGATCATAGCTAACATAACCATGACCTCCTGGGTTCATGCAGTCCCTCTATCTCAGCCTCCCAGATAGCTAAGACTACAGGTGTGTGCCATCATGCCTGGCTAATTTTTTTGTTCTTATTTTGTTGAGGAGATGGGGTCTTCCTGTGTTGTCCAGGCTGATCTCCAGTGCCTGGCCTCAAGCAAACCTTCTGTTTTGGTCTCCCAAAGTGGTGGGATTATAGGAATGAGTGACCATACCTAGTCGAGAAGTTTCTTAAGGCCGGTGATTTTGTTTCCTGTTTGTCTTTGAGCATGGCCTAATACCATGCTTAGTGTGTGGTAGGCACTCAGCAAATATTTCTGAACCTGATTGTTGCTTTATATTTTTCTTCATTTATATTTTCTATTGTAGTAAAATTTGCACAATGTAAAATTTCCTGTATTAACTGGTTTTAAGTGTAGAATTCTGTGGAATCAAGTGCATTCATGCTTCTGTGCAACAATTACCACCATTTATCTCTGGAACTTTTTCATCTTTTCCAGATGAAACTCCATTCTCCCTTTCCCTGACTCCTGGCAACCGTTATTCTACTCTTTGTCTCCATGAATTTGACTACTCTAGGTCCTCATAGAAGAGGAATCATACAATATTTGTCTTTTTGTGACTGACTTCTTTCACTCAACATAATGTCTTCAAGGTTCATTTACATTGTAGTGTGTATTAAAATTTTCTTCCTTTTTAAGGTTGAATAATATGCCATTATAATACTCACACACATACTCAGGAAGCAAGTCTGTCTGCTACTAATGTAATCATTTCCCTTTAAATTTCCTTTATTTGAATTGTAGCTCATTGAGCACATCATTCTTTATTTTATCTATTACGTTTAATCAATCTCCAAAGAAGACTCCATTTCTGACCCATTACCAAACTAGGGACATTCCTCTGGTGAAACAGATGTATTACCAAATTTTGCTACTGCATGCCCGATTTACTTCTCATTTCAGTTGTATATAAGTACTGCTGCTTATATATATACTACATTTTGTTTATTTATATGCCAGTGAGCACGTGGATTACTTTCACCTTTTGACTATTGTGAATAGTGCTGTTATAAACATGGGTATACAAATATCTGTTTTTAATTTTGGGGGGTATATACCCAGAAGTGGAATTTTGAATCATATGATAATTTTGTTTGTTTTGATAAATCACCATACTGTTTTCCATAGTAACTATACTATTTTACTTTTCTACCAGCTGTGCACGAGGGATCCAATTGCTTCACATCCCCACCAACACTTAATTGCTTCCTCGCTCCCTCTCTCCCTCCCCTCCTTTCTTTCTTCCTTCCTCCCTCCCTCCCTCCCTTTCCTCCTTCCTTGCCTCCCTACCTTTCTTTCTTCCTTCTCTTCCTCTTTCTTCCTTCTCTCCTCATCCTTCCCTTCCTCTATTCATTCCTTCTACCTAATGGGTGTGAAGTGTGGTTTTGGTGTACATTCCCCTGGTGATTAGTGATGTTGAGTTTCCCTTTTCATGTGCTTATAGACCAAAAATAGGTGTTTGAGTCTTTTGCTCATTTTTAAAATTTGGGTTGCTTGTGTTTTTGTTGAGATATGGAGGTTTATTACTTTAGAAATTAACTGCTTATCAGATGTGATTTGCAGATATTTTTTCCATCCTGTGGGTTGCCTATTCATTCTTTTGTGTCCTTTGTTACACAAAAATTTTAAATTTTGATTAAGCCCAGTTTATCTTTTTTTCCTTTTATTGCCTGGACTTTTGTTGTAATATCCAAGAAATTATCACTAAATGCAGTGTCTTGAAGCTTTCCTATGTTTTCTTCTAAGAGATTTGTAGTTTCAGCTTTTATAATTAGGCCTTTGATAATTTTGAGTTAATTTTTATATATGTTGTAAAGTAAACATCCAACTTCATTATTACTTTTTTGCATGTGGATTTCATTAAATGATATATATGGAATGATTCTTTCCTTCATTCATATTTGGTCAAATGACTTTCAACTTTATTGACTATTACAAGTTTTTAAAGATCTTTCCTATCACTGTCTTATATTAAAAACCATTAAAATAGAATCATCAATTATCATCTTTTCTGTCCTTTTACTGGATGTTTGTTTAGATTTAATAATCTTCAGTTTATACTTTACATTCTTGTTTTCTGAAACATAGTAGAAGCATTAGAATACTTTGCTAATCTTTTAAATGAAGGGTCTTTTGTAGGTTGGAAATTTTGTTTTTAAGTCTCTTAACATTTCTAGACTCTAGATTTCTTTTCTGTAAAACTGAGAGGATTAAATTAGATGATTTGTTGTGTGTCTTTAACTGTGGAAATTCTACGATTCTAAGATACTTATGAATAGCTTTTAATCAGTAACTAAAAAGTTAAGAGTAGAATAATTTCATATATTGTAAATAATACATTAAAATTGATATCGCCTGATTATCTTTATTTTTATGTAGCATTTGTGTTTTCTCCATATATGAACAAAAGTTTTTTATTTTGTTTTTTTGAGTTGGAGTCTCTTGTCACCCAGGCTGGAGTACAATGGCATGCTCACCGGGCTACTACAACCTTGACCTGCTGGGCTTAGGTGATCCTTCTGCCTCAGCCTTCCAAGTAGCTGGAACTACAGTTGCATGCCACCAAGCCCAGCCAATTTTTGTAGAGACGAGGTCTCACCAAGTTGCCTAGGCTGGTCTTGAACCCCTGGGCTCAGGCAATTCTCTCACCCCGGCCTCCCAGATTGCTGGGATTACAGGCTGAGCCACCGCGCTTGGACTTTGAACAGAAGTTTTAAACATAGCTATGATTAGTCTCTTTCAGTGGTAAAAAAACAAACAAAAGCCCTTAATTTCCAAGTATTATTGCAGTTTGTAGTATTACCACCTTTATCGTCTTTAGTCATTAAGGAGAATGGTTGTAAATTATGTACATTAAATTTTTTTGCACATATAAAGAAAAGATCACCAAAAGATAGGTGAAAAAGTGAGAGGACACCTTTTTTCTGGAAAACTCTTGAATTCTGCAGCCTAGAAAGGGAGTTTTTTGAGTGCTAAACCCTTGGATATATATATGAGAGGTCTGTGATTGTATGGTACATGTGCATATATATGTTGATTAAGATGATCAGAAAGCCATTTTTCCCCTCATCTCACCTGTTGTGTTGATTGTGTAATTATATAAACTTACTTATTAAATTATAGTTAGTTATAACATGGCTTAATTCATTTTACTTATTAAAGTCTTTGTCAGTTGCTGTGTTTACCTCTTTTTTAAAATGTGGAAATAAAAATGATAATAGCCAGTATTTTACTGAGTTTGTAGTTTGTAGTATTACCACTGAGTGCTTGATACATTTCTTTCCATTTTATTTTCATATCTTTGCAAAGAAAATGATGTTTTAGTGATAATATTTTATCAGGGACTATTCCAGATGCCCAGGAGAGGAGTTAATTCATTACATACAGTGATTTCCTAAGAATAGTATGGATTAATTCTCTTAGTTGAAAAGATTGACTGACTAGGAGCACAGGGATATCTATCAAATTTTTTGAACTATCTGAATATGTTATCATTACTACTAAGTTATTAGTCCTAAATCATTAGTAATAAAGTAGTGTATTGCTTCTAAGACTTTTCATTTGGAATTCTGAATCGTATTTAAAAAAAAATAAAAGTATTGGCTCTATCAAGTATCATTTAAAGTCACAGTAGCAATGTCATTTATGCTTAAATATTCTGAATTTAAGAAGCAAATTGGACTGCTACTAGCCAGTTTGAGCAGCAGTACTGCTGGTATAAAGGGTCAGAAATGTTGCCTTCTTTGGAGACTGATTAAAAATAATAGATAAAATAAAGAATGATGTGCTCAATGAGCTACAATTCAAATAAAAGAAATTTAAAGGAAATGATACATTAGTAGCAGATGGACTTATTTCCTGAATTGCAATCTTACTGGAAATCCTAGAACAGCTTCAATTTGTTTTTCAGATTAGAGTCTGATAAAAAGATAAAGAGATTTGTTTTTTTGGTTGTGCAATTGTGGTTCTTACTGTCTCTTGGATATTTCATTTGTACTAGGCTATTTTTATGATTCCCACAAATCCACCACCGACATTCAGGAAGCCAGAACTTTGGTCTGATGATTTCACTGATTTTGTTAAAAAGTGCTTAGTGAAGAATCCAGAGCAGAGAGCTACTGCAACACAACTTTTACAGGTCAGTGCTTGTGCCTTCAAGGGAAGGACATTTTCTTCATACCTTTTAACTTTCTAATATTGGCCAGAATGCTGTGAATTTCATAACTGGTTTCTAAAGATGCAAACCTCCCCAGGAAATATGGACTAATAAGACACACATACCATTCTTCTGTATGTTCTCTTTCCCTTATTTTCTGTTTCTCACGTTTAATCTACTTTTTTCATTTTTCTTTCTTTTCTCTTTTTCCTTTTATGAACTCCTTCCTCTAATGTTTGAAAACAAAACTTTTCAAAGGGTTCTCGTTTCAGAAATAAGTTCTTGTCTCCATAGTTACTATTTCCCATGTTTTTTCTTATACTCCTTTAATCAGAATTTCTCCTTTTTGCTCCACTATAAGTTATGTAAGTATAAGATCCCTGAACTCCTTGAAAAGATTATCACATGTTGTAAATACTAGTTACAGGATTACCTAAATGAAGAGTTTGACTATCCTTGCTGTAAGTAGACTTTGTATCCAGAATGTCAGGTGGTTTTTTTAGTCTGCCTTAAATGTAATGCAAACAGAAATAATTTAATATTTATAATAGGTATTTATGAACCTTTATTTTCCCAATAAAATTGCCTTAGAACCCTCAGCTAATAATAAGCATGCCTCACATTAACAAAACGTGATATCTGCAAAATGAGTCCTACTGTTAAGAAACAGAAGGATTCAAAACGTGATTCTTGTAAAAAGTGACTTCCCAAGGTGCCATTTTTTAAAAAAAGGATTTGTTGAGGGATAATGTTTATTATTATGAAAATTTAACTTAGTGCTCAATTACCATGAAAGCCAACTTAGCAATATCTGTGTAAAATAAAAATTCACATATTCTTTGACCCAGCAACTACACTTCGAGGAATTTATTTTACAGAAAAATTTAACCATGTGTGCAATAACATATGTGTTAAAATATTAATAGAACATTATGATAGTTCAAAATTAGAAAGAACCTAAATATATCAACAGATTGGAATTTATCTAAGGTCCATGAAGAGGAATGGTTGGAAAAAACACACACACATCAATGCTTGTAATGGAGTAGCTCTGGAAAAATAAGCTAGAATCTGGCCTCCAGAGAAGGTAACTCAGCTGTAGGGATAAGGGCCAGGAGCAGGATGGAGACTGACTTTTCATTGAATACTCTTTATGAGTCTTTGGGATTTGAGTTATGTGAAAATATTATCTTTCAGAAATTAATTAATGGTTAAGATAGTAAATTTTATGTTATGTTTATGTTCTACAATAAAAATGGAAAAGATTAATTAAAATTAATTTATTTTTGAAATATTGTTAGCAATCCTTTAGAGTATCTTTTTAAATAGTCCAGGGGGACTGCTTTTGCACTCCTGTATCATCCAGTACTTAATACATGTGTATTACACTTAATATGTGTTTATTTAACATAACAAACTTCTGACTTACATTTCTTTTTTTTCTTTTTTTTTTTTCTTGGTAGGATGGTTATCTTTGGCCTTATTAGAGTCTTGTTATACTGAAAACATAGAAATCATTCTGTTTCTTTAAGGAGTTTTGTATATGTCTTATCTATTATAATTTAAGTTATAGTTTAACTCTCAGTGGACAATCTTATTACCAAATTTTAGTAGACACATATCTGTAGCTTACATGTACAGATTGTACCACATTGATTTTGAGAGCCCAATAGACAATTTATAAAAAGAATTTCATGATGGATTTTTAAAACAGTGATTGATTTCCTGTGACACATATAGATTATTGTATAAATTTAAAAGAATCATAGACTGGAGTGATCCTTTGAGATTATTGAGCTGAAGTCTTAGTAGTTTTTAAACAAGAGGAAATTGAAACCTCAGAGATATTACAGGACAAAGTTCAGTATCAGTCTTATAGCACTAGTGTTCCTGATCTGAAGATGATCCTTATACCTGCTGGTGGGCAGCCAAGATGTTATAGCCAGCTCCTGGCCCAGGGAATCTCCTATGAGACTGTTAGGTTGACTGAACTCTGCCATTATTTAAATCAACTCCAGGCCTTGGCTGGAACAGATGGTGTCATGAGTCATTTTGTGAACTCTTGTGGCATGTGACTTTCTCTCTTTTACCAGTTCAAGTGAGGTGTAGAAACTTTACCTCCCTTTTTGTCTCCCATTTATAATATAGTTGTCTTAAATACTTCCCTTACATACATTGAGAACATTGTCACATACATTGAGAACATTGTCAATATTGCTTTAACCTTAAAACATATTTGAGGAAACTCAAGAGAAGAAGAGAAATCTATTGTATTTACCCTTTTTTTTTTGGTTCTTTCTGTTGTTGTTTTTCCTGATGTTCCAAGAGGTTCCTTGTATCTTTGACTTTCTGGCTAGAGAACCTCTTTAGCCGTTCTTTTGGGGTAGATCTATGGCAACAAATTCTCTTAGTTTTTCTTTATTTGATGTCTTGATTTCTTCATCATTCATGAAGGAAATTTTCACTGGTTGTTGTATTCTGGGTTGATGGTTCTTTTTCTTACAGCACTTGAAAAATGTCGTGGCACATCTTTTTAGCCTCCATGGTTTCCTATGAGAAATCTGTTATGTAAATTGTTTTACCTCTTTTTAATACTTTTTTCTTTGTCTTTAGTTTCCAGAAATTTAAGTATGATATATCTTTGTATATACTTGTTTGGATTTGTCTTTTTTAGCTCCATCTTCTTTCTTCTCTCTTTCTTGGACTCCAGTAATACAAATATTAGATCTTTTGTTTTAGTCTCACAGCTCCCACATTGTATATTTTTTATTGTTTTATCTTCCAATTCCCTGATTCTTTCCTCTGCCCCTATTTTGCTGTTAAGCCTGTCCTTTGAGTTTATATTTCAATTATTGTATTTTTCACTTCTAAAATCTTCCTTTTTTGTCTTCTGTTTCTTTACTGAGACATTTTTATTTTGTATTTGTTTACAAGCAAATTTGTAATTGCTCGTTGCAGCATTTTTTTATGATGGCTACTTGAAAATTCTTATCAGATAATTCTAACATATGTGTCATCCTGTTATCAGACTTAGTCTTCTTCCTATTTAAGTTGAGATTTTCCTGGTTCTAGCTGTGTTGAGTGATTTTCAGTTGAAACCTGGACATTTTGAGTATTATGATACTCTGGATCTTACTTAAAACTTCTTTTATAACAGGCCTCCTCTGTCACTGCTCCAGTGGGATAGAGGGTGCTATCTTTTTTTTTTTTTTTTTTGAGTTGGAGTCTCACTGTCACCCAGACTGGAGTGCAGTGGCCGCTCCCGGCCACCGCAGCCTCCACCTGCTGGGCTCCAGCGATCCTTCCACCTCAGCCTTCCGAGTAGCCGGAATTACAGGCATGCGCTACCACGCCCAGCTGATTTTTTGATTTATTGTAGAGATGAGGTCTCGCTGCCCAGGCGGGTCTCGAACCCTCAGGCTCAGGCAATTCACTCACCTCAGCCTCCCAAAGGTGCAGGATTACAGGCTGAACCACCGAGCCCGGCTGAGGAGTGTTATCTTATTCGTGCTAGCTAGGTATAGAAATCCAGGTTCCTCACTTGGTCTCTTTTGACATTTAGGGTAGAAAGAGCTCTGTGTTACTAATGGATTCAGGTTAGAGCTCAGGTTCCCTCAATAATCTCCAATGGCTCCATGGGGCGTAACCTCATTTAAGCTGATTGGTTGTTAAAATTCTGATCCTTCACCAGACTGCCTTTTATTCCACTTCAACACTCCTAAAAGTTCTGGGGTTCCTTATACACTGCCTGGTAGGAAGTATGTAATGTGTTAGGTGGATTTGGGGTAATTTTATCTTTTCATTAATTTAGGTGATTTAAGAATCCTCACCTTCTTTTAGTTTAATTTTTACTTCCTTTTTTTTTTCCTTTATTGCATTGGATTGAATATGTAAATATTCTCCTATATTACCTTCTAGTTCTTGTTTCTTTTCTTTTCTTTTCTTTTTTTAACATTTAATACCTTGATCTATATGGAATTTATTTTGGTGTTCTTGTGGTAAAGATCTAGGTTAACTTCTCCACTCCACCAAAGGGAGGCAGACATCTCAGCACCAGTTTTGTTTTAAATTGTTTTTCCCTCACTGATTGGAAATGCCAGTTTTGTTTGTATATTATATTCGGTTTCTGGGAATTTTATTCTGCTTCATTGTTCTGCCTCCTGCTGGTACCATATGCTTTTCTAGGCATTTAACAAAAAGATGTAGCTTCTATTTATTGGGTGTAAAGTTGTGTTTTTCTGTAAAATTGATCAGGATATTATTCAGATAATTTTTAACTGAATAAGTAATTCCATATTAATATACCAAGTTTGTAACTGTATCTTCCTTTATATTATGTTCTTTATTAATATTAAATGACTCCTCATTTACTGTTTTCTGCTTTCAGTTTTGCTTTTTTATGTTATTTATGATAACTTTTTATGTTTTATTAATATTTCATTGCCTGTCTTCAACTATTAGCTCAAGTTCTTTTAAGTATGCTTCATATAGAAACATGAGTTGGATTTTATATAGCTCATGTAGAAAGTATGCAGTTATCTTATGAATTAAGTGAACCTTGTCTTTCAGTTCTTGACTAAAATATGATTTAATAAATAAAAATTTAACCCTTTTATTTACTTTAGTATGTAAGCATATGCTAATTCTACTGGTTCTCAGTTTTTACAGTGTTGGTCTTCTCCCACTTCTGTTAATATATAATCAGTCACTAAATCCTTCTCATTCTTGTATCAGAGTTACTATTTCCTCTCTATTTTTACAGTATTTTTTTAAAAAACTCAGGTCTTAATAATTCACACCTGTATTATTACAGTTTCTACCCACTCTGTTTCATTTCCAAACTCTGCTGCAAGATTAAGCTACCAAAGACATTCTTTTCCTTACATTATTTTCTTGGGTATATATGTAATTAAAGTGGCTCTCAGACAATATTCAGGCATCTCATCCAAAGCATTTACCCTTCTTGCCTCAGTGTTCTCTGTGTCTAAACTTACAAATTATTTCCCTAAAAGGCGTTTCCTCTTGCTGTGTTATAAAATACATAAATTTCCTATTTGTGTGTTCTTATTCATAGTGTTAAAACTGTTTCTCCTCCCTAAAATGATCTGTTTCTTTTGTACGAGTCATCTGTGATTACCTTATCTGTTCTTCTACTTTTACATTTCTTTTTTTAATTTTTGAGTTGGAGTCTCACTCTATCGCCCAGACTGGAGTGTAGTAGCCACTCCCGGCCACTGCAGCCTCGACCTGCTGGGCTCCGGCGATCCTTCCGCCTCAGCCTTCCAAGTAGCCGGAATTACAGGCATGCGCTACCACACCTGGCTGATTTTTTTTATTTATTGTAGAGATGAGGTCTCGCTGCCCAGGCGGGTCTCAAACCTGCGGGCTCAGGCAGTCCTCTCACCTCAGCCTCCCAAAGGCGCGGGATTACAGGCTGAGCCACCGAGCCTGGCTACTTTTACATTTGATCAAATAAATTTTGCTAAACCATCATGGATGTAACTTCTGTGTCATATTGTAATTTTTGAATGTATATTTGTCTTATTCTTCAAAAAACGTATCTTCAGTTTTTTGTGGTGAGTGTGTGACCTTTTTATTAGTGTTAAGAATTTTTGGAGTAGGACAGGGCTTCTTTCATTCTTTTTGGCTCTATCAACCTCTAAGCACTCTTTGTCTTTTTATTTGTTTGAAGTTGTGTCTCAAGTACCAACTTAGCACAAAGGGATAGATTGTGGAGTACAACACTGGCACTCATGTTTGGTTAGTGAGAACTTAGTCACATAGTTACAACCAACTGAAAGGGAAGTTGAGAAATACAGGATTTAACCGGTCTAACCACAACTATGTTCTAGTGTATGACCAGGAATCTCCACCACAAACATGTTACTAGAACTTAATTTAACTGGTGATTAATCTATAACTGTTACAAAATAATTTATTGATTATTTACAGTTGATCTTAGTATTTCTGTACCCTGGAAAAATTCTTTCTTATAGTTTTTCAAATGATATGCTTATCATTTGAAAGTCTCTTGAAAATGTCTATAATTTATTCTTTAACTTTTTTTTTTTGCTTTTGAGTATAGTTTTGAGTTCTATTGATGTTTATTAAATTAACTCAGGTTGCTTTTACCTGACACAATCTACTGTTGTATAATTATGAAAATTACATTTTGAAGCTAATTGCTGCCCCCAAATAAGGGTATCTATCCCCAATTATACTTATAACATTTTTCTTTTTTCTCATGCCCCCTCTTTCTCAATAAAAAAGCAGTTTAAAAACTTAGGTCTATTCTCTTCTTTTTATTAGAATTATAGAGAATTCAGTTATTTTAGCTAGATTCAGATGATACTTTTTTAAAAAAGAAAGTGACAAGTTGTTTTAAATATAGAAATGATATAGTATTTATTTTCTGGAAAATATCTTTCTGTCTTCATTGTAAAGATTAAAATAGAAAATATAGTAAAATAGAGAATATGAAAAAAAGTAACAAAATAGTTGCCCTCCTTTGACCACTGATTTTTGCTGTCAGCTTATTTAGATTAATTAAATTCTGTAACTCAATACCACAGTAAGTTTATTTTTATATGTAATATAATCACTAATCTGTATTTTAAATTTTTTCTCTTTTTTACCACCTAATGTACACTTCCTTTGGACAATTATGTCTTTAAAAATAATTTAATTTTATTAATAGGATTGCATTTTTGTGTGTGTTTTACCTTTTTTTAAAAAGTAAGCCCAAGCTGGGCTCGGTGGCTCAGCCTGTAATCCTGTGCCTCGGGAGGCTGAGGTGAGTGGATTGCCTGAGCCCGCAGGTTTGAGACTCGCCTGGGCAACTTGGTGAGACCTCATCTCTACAATAAATCAAAAAATTAGCCGGGTGTGGTAGCGTGCGCCAGTAGTTCCAGCTACTTGGAAGACTGAGGTGGAAGGATCGCCGGAGCCCAGCAGGTCGAGACTGCGGTGGCCGGGAGTGGCCACTGCACTCCAGTCTGGGCGACAGAGTGAGACCCCAACTGAAAAAAAAAAAGAAAAAAAAAAAAGTAAGCCCAAAAGCAAAATCTTTATTTCAAAGTTGCCAACATATTCTCTTTTCTTATTTCTATATTAAAAAACAATCATTGAGGCCTGTAATCCTTGTTAACAGTTGTTAGCTATAATTCAGAAGAGCTAGTTGAATTTATATCATTGAATTTTATTTTTCTAGCATCCTTTTATCAAGAATGCAAAACCTGTATCGATATTAAGAGACTTGATCACAGAAGCTATGGAGATCAAAGCTAAAAGACATGAAGAACAGCAGCGAGAATTGGAAGAGGAGGAAGAAAATTCGGTTTGTAATTATCTTCAAAAAGTTCCTGAGTCATATTTCTATAATTTTATTTTTCTTTAAATATAGTGATAGAACTTACTGTTGTATTGCACAAATGGAGGTATATTTGTTTGTTAAATCTCAAAACATATTTTGTTTATATTAAGTGCTTTGCTATCTTTTTCATATGTCTTAATTATTAGTGATTAGTGAAATGTAACATTGATATGGAAGTCTTGCACAATAACTAGTATCTAGTTAATACTAACACTGAGTTTGTTGAATAAGTGTTGTCTTGAATTTGGACAGTATTGAGTCCTGTCTTCTGAAACTTTCTTTTAACTGGTCACTGCTATCTTTACTATGGCCAGAGTACCACAGTAGAACAGGGACTACTAGAGAAAGCAGAAGGCACACATGAGGACCTAGCATACTAAACCAGTTTGTTTTATTTACTTTAAATTGATGTGCCACTGCATTTAAATAACAGAATGATAGCATTTTTTATCATATTTTGCAATGTCTAATATTTCTGTCCTTTGTTAATCATTTTTTGCTTTGTGTTTCAAATTATAGTTTTGTTTTGCTTTATTTTGAGTTGGAGTCTCACTTTGTTGCCCAGACTGGAGTGTCGTGGCACACTCACGGCCACCCTAGAGTCAATCTGCTGGGCTCTGGTAATCCTTCCGCCTCAGCCTTCCAAGTAGCTGGAACTACAGGCATGCACTACCATACCCGGTTAATTTCTGATTTATTGTAGAGACGAGGTCTCACCAAGTTGCCTGGGCTGGTCTCAAACCGCTGGCTCAGGCAATCTACTCGTCTCAGCTTCCCAAAGTGCTGGGATTACAGGCTGAGCTACCGAGCACCGCCTATAGTTTTTTTAAAAGTAAGATCAGGCATGTTTTTTATCATCATCCTATTTTACAGGTTAGTGAAATTTGTTAGGAGAGAAGTGATATAGCACAGTTCACAAAGCTTGTACAGAACTAAGACTAAAACTAGGTTTTCTGCTTTTAAGCTTCCATGCTTCTTCACTAGTACTTTATGCTCATTTTCCTTTTTCTTTTTGAGAAAAGATTTATCTGTTGCCTTGGCTGGAATACAGTATTGCTATCATAGCTCACTATAACCTTGAATTCCTGGACTCGAGTGATCCTTCCGCCTCAGCCTCCTGAGTAGCTGGTATAACAGGCATATACCACCATGCCTGGCTAATCATTTTCAGTAAAATACGTATTAATGCTTCTTAAAATAAGCAACATTGACTTATCAGAATTACACCATTTCTGATATGTTTATGTTCTCCAAAAAAGCCTATTTTTGCTCCTCTGTCATGGTACCCATTTGCCTTTCCTTTGCTTCATGCAGATTTCTTATGTGTGCTGGGCTAGTGAACTGCCTTTAGTCAGCTATTAATGGGAAGATGATTATTTTTGCTTTGCTCTTATATTTCTGTACTTAATTGTGGGCAGGTTTCCAGTTTTGATGGGTAGGGAATTGTTGACTAGTCTAGAATTTACATAGTTTTTATTGTTGCTACTGTCACTTTGATTACTTTCTGCTACTTTGGTGATCTTTCTTCACTATTTTCTCTCCTTCACCGAGCTGTAGGTCTTTCTTTCAGATGTTTAATTTTTTTTAACATGCCTAAGGTCTGTCTTTACTCAAGGTCTTTGCATGTGCTATGCCCTGTGCTCGTAAAACTCTTCTTCCCTTATGGAATGGCTCTAGGTTCTTTTCTTTTGGGTATCAGCTTTAAAGATTATGCACCCTAAATCTTAGCACTTAAATCAACACACATTTATTCTCTCATGGTATTTTGTAGCTCAGTATTTCAAGAATAGCTTAGTTGGGTGATTCAGGCTCAGGGTCCCTCATGAGGCTGTAGTCTAAGTGTTAGTCAAAGCTGCAGTCATCTGAAGTCTTGACAAGGGCTGGAGGATTGACTTCTAAGGAGACTCCTCCAATGACTGTTGGCAGGTTGCCTCAGTTCTTTGGCATGTGGACCTCTCCATAAGGCTGCTTTAACGTCTTCACAGCGTGGCAGCAGACTTCTCTCAGAGTAAGTGATCCGAGAGAGACCAAAGAGGAAATCCCAGTGCCTTTTATGATGTAGTCTCAGGAGTTATATACTGTCACATCTGCCACATTCTCTTTGTTAAAAGCAAGTCAACTATCACAGGAACTAGGGGACTAGAAGCTCCAAAAATCAGTGCCTTCACAGAAGCAACACATAAGCTGACAAAACTGACAGATCAACTTTTTAAACTCTGGAATCCAATATAAAACAGCAACCAGAAACTACTTCATGAAGAAAGAAGCTACTAAATTTTGATAAGAAAGCATTGTGACAATTTTGCTTACATCATCTCCTGTTTTCTAGTATATCAACAGCTGTGGGGACAGTGGCTCATATTCCTGGTGCGGGTTGCTGGTGCCAGGAGGGGGACAGTGAGAACCTTATTCCCAAAAAAGTGTGATTTTTACATTTTGACTTGTCTAGTGGTTCCCTGAGGGCTAGTGCAGATATCTTTGTTTCAGCCCCCTTGAGTTTCTTGGGTGTTGTCTGTCAAAAATATCTAGTTCTGCTAGAACTAGTATGCAGATTCAGCAGTTTCAGGATATGAAATCAATACATAAAACTCGATTGTACTTCTGTGCACCAGCAATAAAAAATGTAAAAAGAAAATTAAGCAAACAATTCTATTTATAGTAACACCAAAAGAATGAAATACCTAAGGATTAAATTCAGCCAAGGAGGTGAAAAGCTTGTTTAGTGAAAGCACAAAACACTGCTAAAAGAAATTAAAGAATACCTAAATCAATAGAAAAACATCCTCTGTGTTCAGGGATTGGAAGACACAATCTTGGTAAAATGGCAGTACTCCCCAAAGCAATTTAAGGATTAGTCCAGTTCCTATCAAATCCCAATGGTCTTTTTTTCAAAAGAGGAAAAACCAGTCCCCAGATTCATATGAAATTACAAGGGGCCCAAAATAGACAAAATACATGGAAAATTAACCTATAAATCTGTGGTCTACCAATGTGTAACAAAGTTTCTGAGACCATTCAATGGGAAAAGAGCAGTCTCTTCAACAAATGGTGCTGGGACCTGAAAAGCCACATGAAAAAGAGTGTATTTGAACTCCTACCTCCCATCATAATAAGCAACCTTTATGATATAAGGTCTAATGGGGTGACTCAGTGACCTCAACATAAGAGCTGAAACTTTAAAAGTCTTAGAAGACATAGAATTAATCTTTATGACTTTGGATTTGGCCATGAATTCTTAGATAATGACACCAAAGCACAAGTAACAAAATTAGAAATAGATAAGTTGAACTTGATCAAAATTTTTTTAAAATTGTACATCAGAGAGTATTATCAAGAAGTGAAAGGTAGCCTGTAGAATGAGGTAATTTTTTACAAATCATATGTCTGATAAGGGTCTAGTATCCAAAATATCTAAAGAAGTCTTACAACTCAACAACAAAAACATAAACCTAATTGAACAATAGGCCTATTGGTAGCTGCCAGAGATTGGAGGAGGGGGAAGGATAGAGAGTGACTTCTTAATGGGTACAATGTTTCCTTTTGGGGTGATGAAAATGTGATACTAGAGAGAGGTGATGATTTCACATTGTGAATGTACTAAATGCTACTGAATTATACACTTTAAAATGGTTAATTTTGACCAAACTCGGTAGCTCAGCCTGCAATCCCAGCACTTTGAGAGACTGAGGCAAGTGGATTGCCTGAGCCCGCACATTTGCGAACAGCCGGGGCATCTTGCCGAGACCTCATCTCTACAATAAATACAAAATTAGCCAGGCGTGATAGCATGTGCTTTTAGTTCTGGCTACTTAGAAGACTGAGGCCAAAAGATCGCCTGAGCCCAGCAAGTCGATGCTGGGCTGGCTGCAAGCATGCCACTGCACTCCAGCCTGGGCGAGACAGCGAGACTCCAACTAAAAAAAAAAAAAAAAAAAGGTTCATTTTATGTATGTTAAGTTTAAAAGTTAAAAACAAATCACTAAGTTTGGTCAACACTCAAGGAAATAGAATTAAACTCCATCTTTTGAGGGGAGAATTTCCAAAGAATGTATAGATATGTTTTAAAACTAGCAGAGAGTATCTTCTGGCTACAAATTATTTACATCCTTTGCCAAGGCAAAATACACCCACTGTCTCTTAAGAAGTGTCTTTCTGGCTGAGCTCAGTGGCTCAGCCTGTAATCCCAGCACTTTGGGAGGCCGAGGGGAGTGGATTGCCTGAGCCAGCGTGGTTTGAGACCTGCCCGGGCAACTTGGCGAGACCTTGTCTCTACAATAAATTTTTAAAATGACTGAGACGTGGTAGCATGTGCCTGTAACTCTGGCTGCTTGGAAGGCTGAGGCAGAAGGATCACTGGAGCCCAGCAGGTCGACGCTGCAGTGGCTGTGAGTGTACCACAGCACTCCAGCATGGGAGACAGAGTAAGATTCCAACTCAAAAAAAAAGTGTCTTCCCATTTCCATCCCAAATACTATTCCTTTACAATATTAGCTCAGAATTCAGTATTTCATCTTCTAAGTCACAGATAGATTTCATGTTCCTTGAGTTTAGTTTCTCTCAATCTGAAGACCTGTGAACTGCGGAGTTAAAAATGATCTCCCCCTCATGTATCAAACATACAGTGATGGTTCATAATAGGCATAACATTATATCACTATAGACAGTTCTGTTCAAAGAATGGGGAAGACTGGAGGCACACAAGAGTTACTAGTCTATAGAAGTTTTGGAATCCAGCTAAGTGAGTGTTAGAACTTGCTTCTTCAGGATCTGGTCCTCCCTCAGGATAATTATCCATAGCTCTTTTTTATGCCAAGTTCTTGGTTCTGCTCTCTTGAGTCCTTCCTTTTGTGAAGGTAGCCTATGTTTCAAGCCAAATAGTTTTCTCAGCCTGCTTTCTGCCTTCAGAAATTTAGAGATCCAAAGTTCCCTTGTCATTTTTTTGCATCTCTACCCTATTTAGTTCA